CCTCTGTTTCATATTTGTCCTGTCCTCCTGCATGGAGAGTAGGCCTAAACAGAAGATATTAGTCCATGTCTTAACAGTTGAAACTAAATTTATATTTCAGAAGTGTGATTTAACAATAATAAGGAATGTTTCTCTGACCAGAATGGCAGCCAGGAAATTATTTCTGATTGATTTTTCTCTTTGTCCTGGTTATTATTCCTCTTTGATCCCAAAATACAGCCAAGTAGCTCTAATAGAAAAGAATAAGCTCAGGCATCTTTTTGATATTGTCATGGGCAAAGGGAAGTTTATTTCTCCCTAACCCCATGGAAGAGAAGGGCTTATACTTCATTTCTTTGGCTGATTGTACAGCTGTTCTTCTGTTCCCTGAGTTGCTCTTTGTTATAAAGCTCTTCTGCTCTGTGGATCTCGTACAGAAATTGTTTCTACAGCTACCTGGCCTTTCTACTGCACACCAGTCTTTTGTCCTTTTAGGTCCTGTAAACTGTTTCTCCCTCGTGACATGTTTTTGTGATAGTGCAGAGCACTTGCCAGCCCTGCCTGCTGATAGCCCATGACTGAGTCACTGAAGCATTTGCCTGCTTGTAGTTTCTACAAGAACTTTTCAGATGCTCTTCAAATTCAGATCCGTGAGAAGAGCAGGAGGTTTTTCCCAGTGTATCAATTTTAGGTGGAGGAGATGGTGGTGGGTAAAATGTCAGTCTCCTGACCCTGGAGTCCTTATTGTGGTGGCTTTGTTGCTGTTCTCCTGACTGGTAGCTTTCCATAATGCCAAAGCTGTCCTGGTAACCCTTATGGTTCTTTACCCTTCCTCTCCTCAGGAAGATGACGTTTGGACGTGTCAGTGACCTGGGACAGTTCATCAGAGAGTCTGAACCAGAGCCTGATGTCAAAAAATCAAAAGGTTTGCTTTCCTCTTTCTCTGCATTCCTGTGAACATCAGCAGAGCTGCTCTCTTCCCCACTGCAGTCAAGAGAAGCAAGAATCTTGACTCTTTCCAGATCTGTTTCAAGCCAAATAGAGCTGCTTAGGGGATTGTCCTGTACTGAAGCAAACCCCATTTCTGGCCCAGTTTCCTCTCCAAATTCTGCTTTTCTGGTCCAGCTGGACTCCGGGGAGCATGAGCAGCCTGTGGGAGTCAGAGCTGTCGATGGAACCTGGCAGGGATGGAAGCTGCTAGCAGCTGAGCTGATGATCAAACCTTCAAAGATTTGATCATCTCGAGATGAAAAAGAACTGCAGCTCTCCACATGCTTCCCACCCAGGCTGGGACCTGCTGTTAGTGCTGCTTTGCAGCTCTGGTAAAGGCGGATGGTTTGGGCTCAGTGTCGATGAACCACGGCTCCCACACAGTCCCTTGTCTCTCGTGCCACTCCCCCGTGCCCTGGAATGCCAGCAGTGCAACCCCTTCAGGGGGATGACAGGAATTGCCTTTGAGGGGGGGGTGTGCCACAGTTTGCTGACATACCTTGCTTGCTGTTTTTATCTCAACCAGGGTCCATGTTTTCACAAGCAATGAAGAAATGGGTTCAAGGAAACACAGATGAGGTGTGTCCTCTTTCATGTTGACCTTGTGATTTACTTTCCAGTATATATAAGGGAGGTAAACTATTGAAGTCCTTAATCCTGGCTGTTTCTCTCAGTATCTTTTTGCTGCACCAACAAGAACTGTGAGACTGTGTGCTAAATATAATCTGATTGCATGAATGTGTGAAATTAGTTTGATCTTTGCCAGTGCTTGCTGGTTTAGCTAATATAATGGTTAAATGTGTGCTTGCAATCAGGAATTTTCTTATTGTGGTGTTATATAAAATGATAGAATGCTTAAGATTGGAAGGGACCTTAAAGATTAAGTAGGAGTGGAGGTGCTGATGTTGGAGGTGCTGGTGTTTATTTTTACCATGAATTGACCACTATACGTGGATTACAGGCTGCTCCCCCCCACTCATAGGGGCTTGGACAAATCCCCAACAGATAAATCTAAAAACTCTCTTGGAAACTGCATCAAGCCATAAATACAATTGAAGTTAACTCTGTACAGAAAAGCCAGGTGCATTTCCATCGAGGGAGGACACGTTTGTACAGGCCACTGAGTTGTGGAAGTTAACTGTGACTCCAGGTGCATTGTGCTGAGGGCACTGTGTTTTTATTTCAAGAACCTGAAGCCGTATCTGTGTTTTGAGCTGTTTTTTTTCCACGGCAGGCTCAAGAAGAGATGGCTTGGAGGATAGCAAAGATGATAGTCAATGACGTCATGCAGCAGGCGCAATGCGAACAGCCTTCGGAGAAGGTTACCAAGGTAAGGGGGTGGAAAGGCTGCCTGTCTTCATCTGGCTCAGGCCAGGCTGTGGGAGGAGCAGAGCTCTCACTTGCCTTCCTCGTGCCTCTGAAACCCACGCTGGTAAATGTTCAAACTGGCATAGCATGATACGAAGAAACAAAGGTTGGAAGTGTTTCGGCCTACGGATGATGTAGGAATTTCTTAACAGATGCCTGTGGTGGTTCTCCTCTGCAGGCATTAAGCTTGTCTTAGTTTGAGTCTTTAGAAACTGCCTTATTAGTTAAAAGGGTGATTTGTGTTGCAGGATCAATACTGTAATTCCTTACTTGAGTTCACACTTGCTGTTTCTTGTTAATCAATGCTTGTACATCTGCCTGAAGTGCCAGTACAACTCTATGATGGGGAAGTTGTCTCGTTGGGTGCACTCATTTACCCAGTTCTGTCCCTAGACTTTGAAAGGACACAGCAGGCCTGGCCATGGGCTGCAGGTTTAGTGTTGGGTGTTGGTGTGTGGTGACTGTGGTGGTGTTCAGCCCATGTGTTCTCTGTTTAGAAAACCCAGTTCTGATGCAGCCGTTGGATTTGGTGAAATGTTGGTGAGGGCAGGTTACCAATTTAATGTCTGGTACTTCTGGCTTCCTAAAAATTAACTTGCATTATGTTTAGTTGTGGAAGGTAACTTAGGTATTAAACCCAAATAGGTGAATTCGTAGTCTCACTGTGTGAGTGCTTCCTTTCTAATAGACCAGTTATGTTTAAACAACTTGTGTAATGATTTCATTTAATAGCTTGGCTGCAAGTGATACAATTCCAGTCTGGCTGGATGAAAAGGTCCCTCAGCACAGTATTTAGAAATATCAAGTGGCTGCAGATGCTCTGGATTCAATTATGCTAATAATCAAAAGGTTGAGTGTGTTGGAATTAGATTTGGGGTTTTTTTCTCTCCCAAACTCAAACATACATTCTATTGAGCAAGTACCTTTGCGTGTTTTATGGTAGAATGTTCTCTAACCCTGTTCTTCCTTTTCCAGCTATGATTTTAGAAACTCCAGAACAGGAAATCTGGTTTTCCACTTGGAGAATGAGTGAACTTTCCCTTTTGGTGGATTCTTTAACACAGCCAATAAAAACAAAGCACTGTTACTCCAACCGCCGAGATCTCCCTCATTTCTAAGGAAGGACGAAAAAGAGGAGCAATCCTGTAACCTCCACTGTAGAGAGTGAAGAAACACTTTTTCCTGTTGTATGTGGCATTCACGGTAACGATGGTTTTTAGAGATGAAGATGCAGTTTACAAATGTGTCACTGAGAAACTGTGATCGACTTCACAAATACTTGACCCTGTCTTAAAAAGACTTTTTAAGCAAAATGTCTGGAATGGGACACAGGCCACAGCAAGAGGGGAAGGTTTTGCTGTAGTTTCTAGTTCTGCTACTTGTAATTTTTAAACACAACATTGCAAAGGCCTTGGGGCACATCCCCTCCGTTGGCCACTGGAACCTGGAAGGGTGAATTCACAGGCAGTGAACGACCTAGGAAGTTCTTAAGTTTTATTTTCCGTTACTTGAAATAGATGAATATTCCACTGTAAGATAAATGTATTTTACTTCATAACCACATTAACCTTGAGGGCAGTGCAGAAGGATCAGGAGCAAAGCCTGGACAGTGTAACTCCTCCCTGCTGAGCTGGTGGCCCTGCACACTCACAGCCCCTGCTTCCACCACGGCACACTCGGATCTTGCACCTGGGCAGCTCCCAAGCCACGGCTCCGAGCAGGTTGGACCCTGGAAACCGCTCCCATTTTCTGTCCTCTCCATCCCACGAGCGAGGAAAAAAAAGGAATTGCTGCCATTCTCCACAGCTTGTTGTCCTCCAACCAACACAGTATCTAATTCCAGATGTTTGGTTTACAAAGAAAAGCAATTTTTAATGACCTCTGGCCTTCTTCCTGACACTGTCAACACTTACCATGTTACACAGCACCTCTTTTTTTTTTTTTCCCCCCCTCAGTGAATTGATTTTTGCAGGGTATCAGAAGTACTCAGTGTCTCACCATTATGTTACTGCTGCATTTTTAGTAGACAACACTTATTTTGGGTCTTGGTTTTTTTTTTTTTTTTACTCTGATGATTGCTTTTTTCCTCAAACTTGGGCAAAGAAATCACTATGAGAAGAACTCAGAATCATTTCCAATGTTCAGAATATCTTGATTGACTAGCAAGTGTTATTCTGTTGCAATATTCGATTGTATAGAGACACACTGTATTGTCTATGAAAAAGCAAAAAAAGAAAAAAAAAAAGGCTGTGTATAGGTTTTTGGTACTATGTACCACCTCTTATTTCTCTCATACCCAAGCATTCATGTACCTAAAACATACTCTATTTAATTGTGTTTTGATTTAAAATATATAAATATTAAAATTTGTGTTGATTTCCTGCTTTCCTGGGATTCGGAAGTTACGTGGGTTGTTTTTTTTAGTGTGAGTTTTGGGGGTTTATAGAAGAAACACGTCCCTGAATGCTTTGTCCTTGGCAGTTTTGGTCATGTTTTTTTAATGGCTTATGTTAATGGCAGTGTGGTGAAATACAGAATAATACTAATAATCTAATCTAAAGGACTAAATCACAGGACATGTCAGAATTTGGGCTGGGAAAGGGGGTAGAAGGGGCAAGGGCTTGGTGCTGTAGTGCAGTATTGAACTGTGCATGCTTAAATCCTCTTCTGTGCAGGAATTTACCCCTCCCCGGTTCTTGGTGCGATGCTGACTGAGGATCCAGCCCAGCCCGTGAGTGACGAGAGGCCCCGGGTTTGGGTGTGAATATTGCCCAGGGCTGAGTTCCTTAAGCCGTTGTGCTGCCTGAGGTGGATGTGGCCAGGTGGAGCGTGAGGCTCGGCTGTCGTTGGGTCGGTTGTGGTGTTGTTTCGGTGCCGCAGAGGGGCGGTGTGTTTGGGAAGGGCCCCAAACCCCGCTCCGTGGGTACCGCGGGGGTGTCGGGGGGAGTCTCGAACCGGTGGCCCCGAGGGTGGTGGGGGCGGTGTTGCCCCTCCGGCCGCCAGGGGGCAGCAGCGCCGCGCTCGGCCGCTCCCGCCCCGGCCACGCCCCTTCCGGCGCACGTGAGGCGCGCGCACGTGAGGCGCGCGCACATGGCCGCGGTGAGCGGGATCAGGAATGGGATTGGGAATGGGAATGGGAATGGGGTTGGGAGCGGGGCCGCACTGCTGGAATTCCACGTGCAGTGCTGGACGGGTGGGGATGCTGCGGCGCTCTGGGCGCGGGGCTCCCGCTGGCCCCGTCCCGTGCCGGGGGTTTCTCCCTCCCGTGGGGTCCGCGCCGGGTCCCCCCATAGCGGCTCCTTCTCCCCCACGCGGGTTTCGCTGCCCGGGTGGGTGGGGGGCCGTCCCCCCTGCCCGGTGGGATTCCCGGCGCTGAGCGCGCTGTCCCGCAGGACATGACGCCGGACGAGGATGTGCAGCGGCTCCTGATCCAGTTTCGGGACGAGGCAGGGGAGTCCCTGGGCTCGCCCTTCGACGTCCCGGTCACCATCACCCCGGACAAGCTGCAGCTGGTCTGCAACGCCCTCCTGCAGAAGGTGAGACCCCTCCCGAACATCCCCGGCACTCCCGAGCCCTTCCCGGGGCCGCCCCTCGCCACCTCACCCGCCCTTTCTCCCACAGGATTGTTATAAGTTACTTTTTCTCTGGAATTTTGAAGACGGCAAAAATACCTGCAGGACAAAGAAATATAGCAAGAGATTTTTATTGCAGTGCTGGGTACCTATTTCCAGCACTGGGTGCACCCTTGAATCATGCAAAGAGCACACCGCTGTTTGAAAACCGCGCTTTTTGTACCCTTTGATATCAGTTGTTGAATATTCATTTTACTGTCCGCTTGTTGCCTTAAAAGGTAATTTCTCTGCTTTGGAAGTGGGTGTTATCTTTTGGCTGGTTGTAACATACCTCCCCTGGGCTCGTACAGGGGGGTCTTGCATCATTCTCACATTGCAAGGCATGGAGGGTCTCTCTGTGTATCCACATTGCACAGAGGAATACATTTTTATTCATAATTTGTTCCCTGTTCTCGGCTGCAAAAGATTCCCTGGTGAGAGGTCCAGATAGGACCCTTCACCTTACAGTCTCCACGGTACGCCTATAAGTTAGTAAATACACAGAAATAGTTCTTTTGTTAGTACCCCCTGTTCATTTTAATTTGCTTGGAATAAAATCAGTTCCTCAATTTTTCACAGGATGAGCCGGTGCCTCTGGCCTTCTTCGTCCACGATGCCGAGATTGTGGCGTCGCTGGAGAAGACGCTGGCGGGGCAGAGCGTGGAGACGGAGAAGGTGCTGGACATCATCTACCAGCCGCAGGCGGTGTTCCGGGTGCGCGCCGTGACGCGCTGCACCAGCTCCCTCGAGGGGCACACCGAGGCCGTCATCTCCGTGGCCTTCAGCCCCACCGGAAAGTACGAGGGGCTGCCGGCAGGCGGGGGGGCTCGGGGTGAGGCAGCGGCTGCTCTTGCCCTCTCTTGAGGACACCGCACTGAGCCCGGCTCCTCATCCTCTCGCAGGTACCTGGCGAGCGGCTCTGGAGACACCACTGTCCGCTTCTGGGACCTCAGCACGGAGACGCCGCAGTTCACGGCCAAAGGTGGGCGTGGGGGTGTCCCCCATCCCTCAGGGACCCTCTGCCTGCCTGGGGGACGAGCAGAGCAGAGCCTGGTGCTGCCTGAGCTGTGTAGGCAGAACGTGGCTCGGGGAGGGAAGGGCTCTCTGTGATGAAGTGGCAGAAGAGGGGCTGGCCAGGAGGAGCACAGGGGGGTTCTCCCTGTCTTGCCCTTCCTTGGAGTGGCTTCCTGCTGGGACACTGAGGATAATCACAGCTCTCCACTCATGCCCACTCGTGCTCTCTCTGCCAGGCCACCGGCACTGGGTGCTCAGCATCGCCTGGTCACCAGATGGCAGGAAACTGGCCTCGGGCTGCAAGAACGGCCAGGTACGTGCTGGCTCCCTCTGCGTGGGGCTGGGGGTCTGGGGGAGCTTGGGGACCCTCTGCAGGCCCACTCTGGACTGAAACAAAACCTGGGGAAGGGCTGTGGGGGATTAGGGGCGAAGGTTCATGTCTCCTGGGCTGCGAGAGGTGTATCCAGTCCTTTGGAGCAGGATTGCTGTTCCCCAGAGCAGCTTTGTGTGTGGATACGTTGTGATATTGCAAGTAGTGTCTCCAGACTCCTGTGCCAGGCAGAGCTCTGGCTTTGTCACCTTGTGGATCTCTTGTTGCTGAGTCCTGCTGTCTTGTGGCAGACGCTCTTCCCTCCGTGCAGGAAAGAGTCCAGGCTTTCAGTGTGGTCCTTGGCAGAGGGCTCCATCACAAGGGAGGTGTCTGGATTGAGAGTGGTTATTGCCCAGCCAAGCCAGAGCTGCTGTTAGTGTGACCCAGACAGCAGCCTGTTTCGCAGCATTCTCACACAGATACAGCCAAATTCCCTCTTGTAGGAATGTGAAGGGGGCTCTGCCCTGGCTGTTGGGCAAAATGTGTGTGCCTAAGGTGCAGAAACGCTTCGGGAAGCGGGAGCACTCAGCTAAACATGAGTCAGGGAGTTGCTGAGCTGCAGAGGGACAGTGGCTCACTCTGACCCTCGAACAATCTGGGAGCAGTGAGAGCAGCCATGGAGCTGCCAAGGCTGTGATTCCATCCCCAAGGAAACAGGCTGGGCCAGGGTGGTTCCGCTGTGGTTTGGTGCTGGTCTGGCTTTAATCAAACCCAGGGAGCTGGGTTCTCTGTTGTCCTCTATTTCCCTATTTTTCCCAGGTTCTCAAGTAGGAGATGACTAATGCCTTGGCTCTTTAGATGAACATTTATGTAGAGAGAGAATCAACAAGAGAAAACCAGCATGTGTCCCACCCACAGGATCTGATAATAAGCAGCACTTAGCGCGCTGCGGCTTTCGTCGCGCTCTGCAAACACTCACCGAGTCTCTGGCACGGGGTGGCTTTTTGGGGACCTGTATCCGTTGTGAGTTGAGTCAGATAATTTAGTCAGATAATTTGTAGGCAGAGAGGAGGGCACTCAGCTCTCATTCTTTTGGATGTCAGCTGAGGGCTGCAGGGATCTGGAAAGGCATCCAGCCCCCTTCCCTTGTTGCTCCCTGTCTCTGCCAGTGTAAACGGACACCAGGGATACCTGTGCTTCCCAAATGGGATTCACATGATGGCTGTGGCCTGACGCGACCCTCTCGCTTCCTCTCTCGGACAGATATTCCTCTGGGACCCAGCCACGGGCAGCCAGCTCGGCCGGGTGCTGTCTGGCCACTCCAAATGGATCACGTGTCTGTGCTGGGAGCCGCTCCACATGTAAGTGAAGGGCCAGCCCAGCCCTTCCCCTTGACTCCTGTGGAAAAGAGCAGCCTGACCTGAAGGGCATTGCTCCTGTTTGCCTTTCTCCTGTTACGGGAAAAAGCGCATGCGGGAGAAGGGCTCGCAAGGTGGGCTGGGAAAACCGGCTGGGAGAGCCAGGAGCCCCAGCCATGAAGTCACTGCCAGGCTGTGCCTCTTTTCCCCCTGTGTAAAAGACATACCTGGCTCTGGAAAGCACTGCTGCTGTGGTGCTGGACAAATAGTTGGTGTGCTCCTCCTCCATGGCATGCTGAGCAGGGAAGCCTGGAGGTCCCCAAGTGCAGGCTCTGCAGAGCACTCCCTCCTGCTCTCCTGATCCTGCTGGCCTCTGTCATCCTGTTTGTTTATCATGAGGGATGATTAACTGTGCAATCCCCTTATCCCTTCGATCAGCTAAAGCTCCCTCTGGCAGAAGTGGGTGGAGGGGGCAGTTATAGCCAATAATCCAAGACGTTATAGCAATAAATAAAAGAGAAAGAAAAAGGGTCCCTTCAGTGCAGAGCCCTGCAAATTGAATTTGCCAGTAGGAAGCTCCAGCTATTTGCAAACAGTTAACTGGATTAGCAAAAAATGATTGTAAAGGAGAATAAGGAAATGGAGAGGAGAGACATGACCCTGGCAGGGCTGCACTGCTCTTTTCAGTCCCAGTGCAAGGGGAGGGGTTGTTCTTCCTCACTGCTGCTCGTGCCACCATGCTGAGTGATGAAGGTGTGGTGCAAAGGACAGAGGGTTGTGTCTCCCCTGTCCTTGATGAGTTGTGGCCAGCTGCTCCCAGATGTGTTAAATTTACCCTCCCTGAGCCACGTGGATGGACATTGCTCCTTTCAGTCCTGCCAGCACAGGAGCACTCTGCCCACAGGCTGGGGATAAGCGTGGCATAGGCAGGGGAGCATCCAGTGCATTCCCAGAGCTGCTGGTCTGTGCTGCCTGGGCAAGGCTGGTCCCCTGCCCAGGGCTCTCCCCAGCCTCCAGTGTGCAGCCCAGGAGTTGGTTTGGAGGACCCATTTGTCTGCCTCTCCCCTTCTCTGTGGTACCTTGGTCTCTGTAGGTCAGTGCTCTGCCCCTGCCTGGCCTCCTGCAGGTCTGGAGCCAAAAGAGAGTTGTATTTTACTGACTTCTTGAATCTACTGGGGGTGATGGAGGAGCTGTGTGTGCTGCACAAATGGATTTGATGTTCCTTTTCCCCAGAAACCCAGAGTGTCGCTACCTGGCGAGTGCCTCCAAGGACGGCAGCATCCGCATCTGGGACACGCTGATGGGCAGGTGTGACAAAATCCTCACGAGCCACACGCAGTCAGTGACGTGTGTGAAGTGGGGGGGCGATGGTTTGCTCTACTCCTCCTCCCAGGACAGGACCATCAAAGTGTGGAGGAGCCAGGATGTAAGTGAGGCTGCTGGCAAAGGGGGCTGGGCACACTGGGGTAGCTTTGTCTGCTCTTCCTGGCACAGCCTGTGCCCTGGAAAACAGAGCTGCAGAGCAGGTGCTGTATCTTCCTGACCTACCAAAACCTGTTGCTTGACACAATTTGGAAAGGGTGGCTGTTGTGCAATGTTTTCATCTCTAAGAGCATTAAGTGGGGCTAAAAGCTGGAAACATCCCGGAGGCAACCTGTGCTGGTGGGTGTCCTCAAGGTCCTGTGGGAAACTGATTCCTGAAGCTCAACAGTGTCGTTCCTGAAACTCAGCAGTCCTGCCTGCAGCTCGGGCAGGAGGGTTGGGAGTGTTGTTTGATGTTGGTCCTTGCAGCCCAGTGGGTGTGGTGGGTGCTGGGCAGCCTGGCTGTGTGCTGCCCTCCCTGTGTGAGGGGTGGTTGTGTCCCCAGGGCGTGCTGTGCCGCAGCCTGCAGGGCCACGCTCACTGGGTGAACACCATGGCCCTGAGCACCGACTACGTGCTCCGCACCGGGGCCTTCGAACCCGCCGAGGCCACCATCAACCCTCAGGACGTCAGCGGCTCCTGTAAGTGCAGCACCCTCTTGTAGGCTGGGGGGAGGCAGCGGGGAGGATAAAGGGCAGGCCTGATTTCCGTGTTGCCACGAGCCAAAGCAACCTTGGGAGCTGGGAGCAGGTCCTGGGCTGGTGTCAGTCGTGCTGACAGCCGTGATTTTCCTCGCCTGTGCCAGGGCTGAGCAGTCTGGGGGATGGGAAGGCCACTCTGTTTCCAAGGGCTTTTGCTCCCAGACTGCCCTTGGCGAAGTGGAAGTGGGTGAGAAGTCACAAGTGCGTCTGCTTGGCCCACAGAGCCAGGATTGGAATTGGCATCACGGGGTTATAAAGTGTCCTTTCACCTACAGGTTGCAAATCTCTCTTCCCCTCTTGTTTTCCCTCTCTTAGTGGCAGAACTGAAGGAAAGGGCTCAGCAAAGGTACAACCAAGTCCGGGTGAGTCCTTTCTGTCCCTGCTGTGGTTTCTAACACTGTCACTGGTGGAAGCAGTAAATGTGCACAGTGGGCTGTGGACCCCACCACTGCTGTGCTACTGAGCTCTCCACACCTGGCCCATTCAGGACTTGGGCTCTTTCATCCCTTTCTCAGGGCCAGGAACCAGAAAGGCTCGTCTCGGGGTCAGATGATTTCACCCTGTTTCTCTGGAGACCAGCAGAAGACAAGAAGCCGCTGGAGAGAATGACAGGCCACCAGGCATTGATCAACCAAGTCCTCTTCTCTCCAGACACCCGGATAATAGCCAGTGCTTCCTTTGACAAGTCCATAAAGCTCTGGGATGGTAGGACAGGAAAGTGAGTTGTTTAGTTCTGTTGCAGAGGTGGTGCTAGGATAGAGTCTGCAGGGCTGGGCTCCACTGTCATTGCCAGCAGCCCCCTGGTGTGTTCAGCATCTCAGCAGCCTGAACTCACGCTCAGTCATTCTGCTGCCTCTGGTTTTTTCTGCCCTTGGGAAGCCCCTTGTCTGGCTCTCCTTGTGTCAGGGGGTCTTCTTGTGCTTGGCTGTGTGTGTGCAGCCCCACTGCCACCCAGCCACAGCACTGCCTGGCACCTGTGGCACACGCAGCCTGCTGCAGGGCGAGTTCTCTGAGCGGCGGTGGGATGGGATGTTCCACTCTGCTGATCTCCTGAAGATGTGTGTGTTGGGCACTGTAGGCTGACCCAGTTTAAACAGTTGCCGTGCCAGAGAACAGCTTGTTCTGGGTGATGCAAATCCGTGTAGTTACAAGTGGTGCTGTTGGGGTTTGGATGCTCCTGGAATCCAGCTTTTAGCCTTCAGCTGGAGTACTGGTGAGCTCTGGGGGCAGCAGTCCTTCCCTGCAAAGCAACCTCTGTGCTTGTGAGCTTGGCATTCATGGCAGTAATTTTAAAGGTCCCTCTAAATCCAGGCTGCTCGGCCAGAGAGAGGAAGGACACATCAGTGCAGTAAGGCTGTAGCGTTGCCTGCTGGATAAGACTTACTTGGCAGATGAGGTGAGATGAAGAGTCATCCTCCAGAAGGTTCTGAGCCCACCTGGGAGGGTTTTTAGACGGCCTGAGCAACCTGTGGACTCTTGTCTCACAGTTGACCGCCCGGGGTGCGCTGAGCATCCTGTGACTGTGCCGGTTTGCTCACGGGTGGAGAAGAAACAGGGAGACAAAGGGCAGGTTTGGAACAAGCCCTGCTGCTCTAACAGCTTGTGCTGTGCCCCAGGTACCTGACGTCGCTGCGGGGCCACGTCTCGGCCGTGTACCAGATCGCCTGGTCGGCCGACAGCCGCTTGCTGGTGAGCGGCAGCAGCGACAGCACCCTCAAGGTCTGGGACGCCAAGACCAAGAAACTGGCCGTCGATCTTCCCGGCCACGCGGACGAGGTGAGGTGTTTGGTTGAGCCGAGGTGTTTGAGGGAGGCAGGAGTGGCTCCTCCTCCCAGCAGAACTGACTGTCTTTTCCGTAACACCAGGTGTATGCGACGGATTGGAGCCCGGACGGGCAGAGGGTGGCGAGTGGAGGGAAGGATAAGTGTTTGAGGATGTAAGTAACTTGTTATCTGTCCATAGAGGGTGTTGCAGCTACTCCATGTGTCCCTCAGAGCCACAGGCTCCTTGCAGAGACCTGCATGGTTAGGGCATGATCTGTCCTTGCAGAGAGGACAGTGCTGGCTCACACTTCAGCTTGGAGACCTGATCTCCCTCAGGGCAGGCTCAGCTGCTGTCCCTGGGAGATGACTCGAAAGCAGAGTCCCTCCAGCTGGGCAGTCAGGGTGAAATTTGACTCAGATGTTTTGGCTCCTGGAGAGGGGAAAGAACACTTGTACCAGTTGGTCAGACCTTCATTTCTCACCTTGCTCCCTCTCCCAGTTATGCAGACGGGCAAATTCCTGTGAGCTGGTTGCCATTTGACCGTGGCTGGTGCCCCCAGTGCCTGGGCCCTGCTGTGCTGCTCTCGTATGGTGCCTGCTGGGCAGCACTGGTGCCCAAGCACAGGGACAAAGCAGCTCTTTCCTCTTCCTCATTTGCAGATGGCGTCGATAGGAGCACAGACACGGAGCTGCCGGTCCTGTCCTCAGCACAATGTGCCTGGAAGATCTCTGGGAGGATGGACGATGGAGGCCAACCCGAGCACGACTCCCTGTTCCTGCTGGCTGCTCTCCCTCGTGGACTCTTTCCTTATATTTATTTAAGGAAATTTTAATTCTGGTTCTTATTAAGAGCTGTGCTTTGCAGGATGATTTCCTCTGAACATTACAGGAGGGATATCTCATCTGCCTCCGTCTCAACTGGCTTTTTATTGGAATTTCAGCCTCACAGTAGCCCTCTGCCTTGAGGGGCAAGTGAAGGGCAGGGATGGCTCTTGCCCTTTCTTGCTGTGTGAAGAATCCTGCGGAGAAGAGAGGTTTAGTGGGAACTGAAGGGGTTGTCCTTGTGTGACCTTCAGAGAGAGAGAAATGGGAAAATTCAGCACATCAATTACATTGCAGAATTGTGCTTGGCATTATCTGTGGATCCTCTGCATCCACAGAGCATAAATCCTCCACTTGTCTGTTCAGGGTCCAGTGTGCATGGACTTCAGATGACTGCTGGAGCTGTGCAGAGTTTTCAGGTCTCAACAGCTCTTGGAAATGGGGAAATGAGACACTGGTGCCTCTGAAGAGGGGAGGGAGCATCCATTTCCCATCCACCACTGGCTCAGGGGGGAAGGAAAAGGGTAGGGTGGGGAAGGGGGAGAAAGGAGCTGGCATTTGGGGTGGTGTTTGTCCCTTGCCCTGGATACGTGCTGACAGCAGGGCTGGGACTGAGTGGCAGAACTTCCATTGCACAGAGTTGGCTCCTTCTGGAATTTCTCAAGTGCATTTACTTGCCCAGTGGGTGAGAGGGATTCACACTGTCAGTTGTGTATTTCTAAACTTGCTTATGAGCCTTTTTCTAAGTCAGCTCAGGCTTCCAGCCGTCATGAGACGAATAGACCTGGATTTACTGTTTATTTCCAGGATGCTTATGAAACAGTGAAAATCAGGATGTGATTATTAAGGAGCAGACAATTATATTGTCAAATTTAGTTGCGGCAGGTTAATATGAAGGTCAAAACATTCTCCATAGCCCTCATACTGCAGTTGCTTCTCAGTGATTACAACAGCTCAGAATGGGACTTTGGGTCTCAAGTGCTTCCCAGCTGCAGAAGATGCATTTTAGGACTTTATTCCTGCTGGTTGGATTGCTTTGGAGAATTAAGAGGGGATGGTGCAGTAATGGCAATTGTCTGCAAGTGTTGAGGGTAGAAAAAGACTGGAACAAAGGGTCAGATCTTTGATATGACTGAGAAGACAACTTGTGGTTCCTGTTCTTAGTTTCTCTTTTTGTCAGCAAAGTCAGCAGGCTCTGTCTTTGTGGGATCTTTTGGGAAGTCCTCAATATCCTATACCTGCTCTTTCATTAATGTGCTTCTTCCAGCTGATTCTTGCTGACAGTGAAGGCCATGTTGCATCCATTCTGCATGAGCAAAACCTTTTGGGAAGGAGAGGAGCAGGTCTTTGGTAATGGCCAAGAAGCCTGCCTGTTTGGAAAGTTTTCACCTCTATGTCCCTGGGTCTGAGTTGCTGAAAGCAGCAGCTCCTGGTGTGGCTCTTTCCAGGGGAACAAGCATCGTTCTCTGCTTCCTCCCCTGAGGTGCTGCACGGGGTCACTGTGCCCTGTCAGTGCAGGGTGTGTTTTGTGCTGGAAGCAGGGATGTATTGGAGCTGAGGGAGGCAATTCTGCCTGTGGGAACTGGCTTGGCTGTGCATGTGTGTAGGTGTACCTAAAATAAATCAGTGTGCCTTGTCCCCTGATTTCCAAACCAAAGCAATTGCTGTGCCCTCCTGCCATCCCTTCAGACTCTGCTTCTGTGACATTTGGCACCAAACAGAGCCTGATTAAAACCCACCTTCCTAATGCTGGAGCGGAAAGGTTTTCCAAAGGGAAGTAAGGCCCTCTCTTGAAGAAAGAGAGGGCCTTGCAACTAAGTGTACACCAAAATAAGCTCTCTTGGCCTTAATCTAACTCCGATCTGATAGCGGGTGGATTTTTGAACCACGCTCAGCGATGGGTTTGCATGTAAACCGAATTGTGTTTTCTCATCCGAGCATCTGCTACTACTTTTATCATTCATACAGCACCAGCCTTCATACGTGCTCAGTGCTGGCCCCGCTCCAGCTGTATTCCTAAGCAATTCTGAAACACTCCTCCCAGTTTCCTCTGAATGCGGCACTTCCCGGGCCTGGCTCTGCAGTCTCCTGCCTGGAGAGCTGCTGCCCTGCCCTTCCCTTCCCTTCAGAGCCGGCTCCTTCTTGGCAGGAGGCGCAGCGGGCGCGTGACCTCCCTCGCTCCGCTGGCGCTGGGGACGGGAGCTTTAATGAGCCAATTTTGGGAATTGCAGATGCAAATTGGGGCCTGATGGTGTTGTTACTGATGGTGTTACTTTCTGTTGAAAGGACAAATCTAGAAGGTAAGGCCGGAGCTTTCTGATTGCTCTTGTGGGGACGGCAGCACTAACCTTACAGAGGGCCTGCTGAAACAGCGGAGCTTTTCCAGTGCTGTGGGAAAGGAATCTCAGGACCTGCTCCTGTGTTTCAGTCCAAGTTCCTCCTGAGTTACTTACTAGACATCCCACACGGGTTTTCCTACCACAAGGGCGTTATTTTTCCCTGGTAATACAAGAATAATTTTAAGCATATCCAGAAACTGTCCCACAGAGCCCTCTGACACATTCTCCTCCAAAAGCTCTGATGGCACCATTAATTTTGTTACAAATCCCCAATGGGAGGACAGTGATGGTAAGGACTGGGAAGCGTGCCAGTCCTCTGAGAAAGGTTTACCTGTCCAATAAATTCCTGAGTATGATGGAGCGAAGGAAGGGATATAAGAACACTTAGAGAGAAGTAAATAATCTGAGATAGAATTGAGGCCAACAGAATGGTGCCAGACTCCTGCCCTTTGGAGGCTGATTTAGATAAGTGAGGCCTTAGAATCCACATGAAAACTGTTCTTGGGGGCGTGTGTCCTGTTTATCCATGCAGGAGGGCTGGCAAGTGGTGTGTGTGTGTGTTGTGCTTCCTGGGTTCTGGGTCCTTGGAGCCACACATTGCTTTTCTGCTCGACTCAGATGATCTCTTGAACATTTTCCCAGATCTGTAATTTAATTTCCATGTGCATGTTTATAGCCTGGGGAGAGACACAAGAAAAATCTTTCAACAACTAGGAAGAAAATGATCTTCATTCATTGTTCTGCATGAAAAGGAGCTTCTCTCAGCTTTTTTTGGGTCAACCCAGGCATTGTTCAGATGATGTTTCTACCTCAAGGCTGCATTTTGGTGGTGTGGCAGAAAATGGCTTGCTGTGAAGACCATTAGTGCTTTTGAGGATGAGAGATGCTATGGAAACTCAGGACAGTGATGTCTGTGTTTTGGGGAGCTGCTACCAGATGAAAATGTACTTCTCTGCACTCAGGCAACGTGGAAGGTGCTAATTCCTTCCTCGATGTGCTGCTCTTGTGATCAAGAGCCCTGGCTCACACCTGAGGGACTAATTGGCTGAACCGATGTAGTGCAGCTGGAAAGGAGCCACAAAACCATCTCTAGTGCTGCCCTTCTGTTTTCTCCACTGTGACTCTGTAAATCAGTGGTCCAGTGGTCTCTGTCAGGGGCTGAAGCTCTTACAGAGTGTGGTATTAAAAATGAGCAAACTCAGGGCACAGTGTCTGTGCTTTTGAAGGTTGATTACACGTGGTACTGGTGCCCACTGCCCGGCAGTGCTTTTGGAGCACGCTGGGTGTTTTATTGTCCTGCCATGTGGCTGTCAGAGCAGTGCATCCCCCCGGGGGCTGCCGGGCTGCTGAAATGCTGAATATCCATGTTGAATATCCATGTGCATTCCTTGAGGAAGGAGCAGCATGATCCCCAGGGGTTATCCTGTGTTGCTGTCCCAGTGTCTCCTGTAACGAGGCTCTCTTGGGTAAGGGTGGGTGAATTCAGTCCAGTTCTGCCTCCGACCCCTTTCAGCAGCAAAAGCAAGTGAAGGTGCTGTTTGTAAATAGCTTTATTGTGGTCTGGGTGCTGGAGATGTCGACATCCCAAAACTCTCCTGGACACCAATCAAGGCCGCAGCTCCAAGGAGTGACCCGCATGCAAATCCCGCAGCCTCCTGAGCGCTGTTCCAGAGCTCAGCCCTCGGATCCCGCTCGGATCCCAGAGCAGCGTGTTTAGTTATTCCGGTCAAACCTCCCTGCTGCTCCTGGCTGTTTGTCCTTGCTGTGCCGAAACAAACCCGCTCCAGGGCTCCAGCCCCCTTAGGAGGACAAAAGGACATCGGGGCAGCGCTGCTGCCGAAGGGAGATGTGTCTGGGTTTGGAAGTGGGATGCAGAATGGGTGGCTTAGGAATTCCTGTGGTGGTATTCTCTGTTCAAAAGGCATCTTCTGAGTGAATTATTTATTTATTTAGTTATTTTTGCTTCCCTAAAATGTAGCTGGTGACATTGACTTGTGAGGATATGTGCTGATGCTGAGAGGATTAATACTGAATGTGAGACTCTCTGGATGGCAATACATAACCAGTTCTCAGGGAAACTGTTTTCTGAATCAGAATATTTAACACATAGAAGATTGTGGGGTTTTTCCTGGTTTAAAGGGGCACTGTGAAGCGTACTAGAAAGTGTCTGTTACTACCAACACCTTAATTTATTATTAACTTGGAATATTTTTACATCTCATTTATTCCTTACATGGGAGTGTTCTGAGCTGTTGAAATTATTGGTCAGCTTTGCTTTCTCAGTGTTGCTTGTTGGGGTAGTGCCATGGATGGATTTTGGATGGGAGCTCAAAACTTCAGCAAATAAAGGAGGGGGATTCAGCCTGGAAAGGTTTTAAAGCCCTTTGGTTCTCTTTGGCACAAAATCAGATTTCTTAGGATTCCTCTGATATTATGATTTAGACATATGATGTCTAAAGCTTAAAGTGCCCTTCACAAAGCTGTCTATCTTCCCTTGATAACAAGCTGTCTATCTTCCCTTGATAAACTCTTGCTGAATATTTTTTTAATCTAAGTGCATTTTCTTTGGAGAAATCTTTAGCTGTGGAGGTTGTGACATGGCACATGGCCCCAGTAGCGCCTGGGTTTGAGTGCTGAGAAAGTGAAGGGAGATAAGTGAAGAATGGGGAGAGGCCCAACTGCGTAAATGCTCGCTCAGTCTCTATTTTGATCTGGTGACACTGAAAGCAGAGCCCGTGTCA